ATGTTAATGGTCATGGAGAGATAATAATACTCCCTGACAGTGTGTTTTTACTTCGAGTTCCACCTCGAATTATCATAGTATTTAGAACAACATTAGAAGGAGTGAGTATGTTTTTTACGCTGTGTTTAGCCATACTCCAGCACTATCACGGCAGGGGACACCGTATTAATTAAAACCCTCTGGCTGTGCAGTTGTAGTGCACACTGATGCATGCAATATAAGTGTACACAATATATCTCCTAAACAACATACGGAGCAACGCATAGCAAAAGTGTGTTGTATTGGACATCGGACAATTACTGACAAGAAGGGCGGTAACGATGCATCGAACTATCGATGGATTGCAATTGTTGAGTCTCCGATAGCAATTACGAAAACGAAAAACTATCGATGCATCGATTGTATGTGTGACTATCGATAGTTTGGTAATTGACTTTATTCTTATCAAATATTTATGTTTTGTATTTTTTTATTGTTTGGGTGCAGATTTGCAGCTTCATTGAGTTTATGTTTTAACTGTTTATTTGATCTGGGATTCAAGTTTATGGTCAGTTATTATGAGATACTGAAACTACTTCAGCTTGATTTTGTTTCATGTAAACTATACAGTCATTGGGAATTGACTTCAAATGAGACAATTTAAGGAGAGAAAAAGCTATTGCAATAGTATTGCAATAATTGGTTGCAATAGACTATCGCTATCGAATAGTTGTTTCCCCCTCAATAGTGACCCCTACTGACAAATGTTTCCAATAAAACGTAAATGGGCTTCACACAAATTCGTGGGATAAATAATTGTGTGTATAACAACTTGAAGTTTACAGCGAAGGCCACCCTGTCAATTGGGAATGTTGTGTGAAAGGGTGCAACCCGCAGCACCAGTGATGGGATCATCATCTTCATTAATAATCATCACCAGCGGGGAGGCGTCACCAGATGGACAATCGGTCAGCTTGGGTCAGCAACTGCAAAAATGTCGTTCTGGTGAAATTCACAGCTGAATGAATCAGAACTCTTCAATAACAAAACGCACAGGCCAAAAATATGGCAAATGTTTTACACGTAATTAAGGGCACATAAGTCGATTAATCTTGAACATAAATGAAGGAAATTCAACACACGGTGTACATATGTATTGTTGTCATTGTCAGCATTAAGCCAGTTCACTCACTGCACATGTGTGGACACAGGGGGCGTTCAGGTCAGTACCTGGTGACACCGCCCCTTTCAGCCGTAACTGATCTACACCGCCCTGGAAGGGATTGCACAAATCGTCGAATTTTTCCTTTGGGAATTCTTCTCCATTACTCCAGCGTTGGCAAGTTCTGCAAGTGTCTGAAGACGATATTGACGTTTACGGACGCGTCGATCAAGTTCGTCTCATAGATGCTCGATCGGGTTCAGAAATGATGAATTTGGTTTGGCCTTTTATAGTCGATGTTTCTTCTCGGGTTTCCTACACATTGCACGTGCATCGCGTTTGAGACTTTTTCTGCATGCACTTTTCATGTATCGTTTGCATGTTTTATGACAAACGTTTACAAACACGTTTTAGGATGCGTTTGCACGCAATACACAACAACCACGACATGATTCACGGGATTCAAACATAGGGATTGTCTTAATGACGATTGCTGTCTGTCAAAATATATCGAAATGAACTGCTGAAAATGCCTGTGCGTTTCTTTTTTTTTAAAGAGTGTATAATGAATTATGAAACACAAAGTCAGTATTAGGGAGTTGCTTTAAACAGTATGTAAGAACACGCAAGTTTGAACAAGGAAACCAACACACAACCTGACATGGTCAGTGTTGGACCTGTTCACCCGGTAGTGAATGGGTACCCGATGGGATAAGATGACTTAAAACCTTCTAGTCGTAAACATGCAGCTGTAATTGTAGTACACTTTGACATGCAATATTACTGGACACATTATTTTTTATCACTAATAAATAATAATAAATTATTCCAAAATGACCATGTCGTACTTATGTATGATGTGTGTTTGTTGTTTAACGCCGCACTCGGCAATATTCCAGCTATATGACGGTGGTCTGTAAATAATCGAGTCTGGAAAGGACAATCCAGTGATCAACATGATGAGCATCGATCTCCATAATTTATACACGATGGCATGTGTCATAGCTGTATTTTAAATTTCCAAATGTTGTAGACGCGGTTAAGGATTACGGGTGTTTTATAACCACAATCCCTGTAATATCGGAAAGAACAAACGATCGTTGTCTCTCTCGTGACCCTTGCTTAACCTCGAGTGGAACAGACCACAGCAATTACGCAGCCGTGGCGTTAATCCCCCATGAATGTAAGAAGCGAACAAAACATTTCGTCATCCCCGATTAAAACATCGTCTTTACATTCGTTGACGTCAAACTGTTGGTGTTACCTCACCCCCTATTAGCCCCGTCGATACAGATTAACTCATTGTCGGATAACAATCTAATCGGATATGGAAGGTTGTGATTCTATCATTATTCCAAACGATGTTAATATAGTACTAGTTGCAGGACTTCAACCCCAAGAGAGAAACACCCTTGAGGTGACGGGATTCAGAGTGGAACCTGGTCGGGCATTCACGTGGGCGAAGGCCCCTGAAGCCAACGCTTTTCTAATTCCCTTCTCAAAATGTCACTGAAAACGATATATCCAGACATGTATTTGTGATTTTAAGTAGTGAACCTAGTTTGGCGTGATATTTATGTTTTGTCGTGAGAGCGTGACATCAGTAATAAAAGCGTGAGTCTCGAACCAAAGACGTGACAGTTGCCGGTATGTTGTTGTCTCACTTAACAGAACCCGATATTAAGAGAACGAAGCAAGGACTTGTCGGTCCTGGTCCATTAAAGTGGTCAATTTGTAGTACACAAGTGTGAAATCCGTGAAGATCCAGGTTAGAATTGATTTTCAGTAACCTATGCAGGTCGTAAGAGGCGACTAACGGTATCGGGTGGTCTGGCTCGCTGACTTGGTTGACACATGTCATCATATCCCAACTGCGTAGATCGATGCTCACATGTTGTTGATCACCGGATTGTCTGGTCCAGAGTCGATTATTTACAGACCGCCGCAATATAGTGAAATATTGCTGAAAACTAAACTCACTCACTCACTCACTCACTCACGCAAGTGTGAATTTACTTTGCACCATCACAATTATTGTTTTGCTGAAAATGCACCATTTGGCAGGGGCAGCCTTCAGGCATGATGGTACACGGGTACTTGACTTTTTAAGAACCGCGCCATTTTGGTTTCATGAAAACTTGAGAGTGACAAATGAAGGATGAATGATGTAAACGTGTTCGTGAAAAGGTGAGCGGATCCTGCTCGACCTGTCGGACCAAAACCATGCAAAGACAAGCTAGTTGTTCTCCTGAAAACACACGAGGCAACATATGGCACAAGAGAGTTGTATCGGACTTCGGACATTTCCCATAAAACGTTTCGAAAGTTTTACTGACGCATTGGATATTCCAACCATGATCAGACAACTTTTAAGCATTGATCGCATGAACCTCTTTGAGGTATAGTAGATTGTACTGTAAAAGCTGTGAAATGTTCAATCGAGCTGTTGGAATATTACTCAACTTAGGCAAAGTTGACTGTTGGAGTGCTGAAGTCATTTGCCTCAGCATGCATTCTTGTAGAGATTTTTTTGGGTCGGACTTAAAAAGAGTATTTTTTTCAGTCGAAATGTGTGAATGATTGATGCGTGAGAATATGATTACCCATATTGCAAACAGCTGTTGTCATGACTGATTGTCAGTGGTTTATTCATATCATTGTCACAGCTATTTTACCGTTAATGCCAAAAGTATTCAGTTTGTTAGGATAGTTAAGACTGGGTATTCCCTTGGCCGGCGACTTTTACTTGATCCGGATCGATGTTTCTGTTGGTGGACTGCAGCCCCCGAGTTTTATCAAAAGCTCAGTAGCACTTATCGATTCGATTCAACTAAAGGACAAATATTAACAACTAGATTATCAGCTCGATTGTTCACTTGGTTGTCAGGTTTGTTTACAGGACGCCGTCGTATGGAATGAGTACTGCTGTGTGCCGTCAAGATGAAACGTTTACGTGATTAGGCATATAGTCACGCCGAAGGCCAAGGTCAGATTCCCATGTGTGAAGCCACATCTGCGTCGCTATAACGCTGGAATATTGCTGAAATGAAATGATCACGGTTCCATGACATGTTCCCGATGTTGGATTGAAGATAGTAAAATTATTCGGAATAACTTCAGATTTAATGTAATCGCACCACAAACCTAGGTGAAAGGAATCCTTCAGAATAATTCAACTCATCTATGATTACACGTCGTCACATTTTTTTGTCAGAGAACATAAAAAATATAGCATCACTTTTTTATCGGTTTGTCGTTCAACGCCTCATTCAGTACTTAGCGAGGTATATGACGGTGGTCTGTAACTAATCGAGTCTTGACCAGACAATCCGGTGATTCGCATCATGGGCATCAATCTATGTAATATGGATACGATGACATCCGTCAGCCAGGCCAGAGAGCCTGATCACCCGATCCCGTTAGTCGCCTCATACGACAAGCTTTGGTTGTTAAAGATTAAATCTAACCTGGATCTTCACTTTCAGTAATATTACAGCAATATCGCCGCTGATAACACAAGAAATGGGCTTCACACATTGTACCCACGTGGGGACTCGAACACCGAGTCTTTGGCGTGACGAGCGTACACTTAAACCTCATATGGAAGACAGTTTCGAATTTGACGCACCATTGACAAAATGATGTGCGATCCCCTATTTGGATGAACAACATAATTTTCTGGACACAAATTTACCGAATTGTTAGGTAAATACCACAGACGACCTTTTTATTGCGACTGATGCTAGTGTACATTGGGGAAACAAGTGCTCGGATTATCAGTACCGTAGAAGAATCAAGCATTTCTCTTGGAAGTAATAATATTCCATCCACAAGGTTTTGCTTTCAAAGAGCGAGCCAGTTTATGAATGGTGACATTGGTGTTTTATTCAGTATATGAAACAAAAGTACAGCTTTCGATAGCTTTAAATTTTGCTCAAAGAAACGAACGTACAGAAACAAACATCATATTTGTTATCGTTGCTATTTTTGCTCATACCATGTTCATGTCATTGGTTAAGTAATATGTAAATGATTGATAAATATGCATAATCTGTTCCAATATATATGCCCCGGAGACGCGTTTCAAAACAATAGTTGACAAAAAGTGACCTGAGAACGGAACACATTTCATGTATAGTCACTAAATATCTTTGCACTGCTCCAGTTTTAGAGCACCTTTGATAAACCTATTTCTTGAGGTTTTCCAGTGTGAAACCACAGTGCATGGAGATTAGAGCGTTACAATGGACTTTGGTTACCAACACATCCCGTTTAAACATGAAATAACTTAAGGCAGATGAAGATGACATTTGGAGTGTGGCAATCCCACTGTAATTTAATGGGTTTTTTTTATGGAATTTGTTTAAGTGACTACGGAATGTGATGGTAACCCTACAGTCACACTGCAATAATAGAGCGATGATTCTCAGTTGGCTGTTTAACAGTCTTCGACAGACAGTGAAGCGAAGAAATCTACCAGTGCTTGGGGTGTTTGGGCATTATGTGATTAGCGAAACATTGCTTGCCTCTAGTGAAACCACTATGAACTCGTTTAAGCATGGCACTATTTTTAGTAACGTTTGACAATGACGCCAGTTGCCCAAAGCGTTGGCTTGCAATTTCTGCTTTTCTTCTTGTTTCGTCCATGAACTCTACTAACGCGACAGGAACCACGCGAAGTGACATCGGACCCATCACTGTCGACAGCAGCATCATCGACTCCATCCTGACACCCTTCCGACACACGACGGCGGGCACTGTCCCCTGTAAACAGCAACATTGTGTATGACATACGGAATTGAATGTATCTTAAACGTACATTGACATAAGATTAGCTGTTTCCTCCATGACCAATATCACCTGACAGATGGTTGTTTGAAACTACTTTCAGAAGGAAGCAGTTGCAATTTGATCTTCAATGTCATTAAAAACGAGGTGATCTTATGACTAATCCCAGGCATCAGTTCTGAGTTGCATAGATGTCGTTATTTTAAGGGGCATGGGGTAACCGTTATGTCTGTAGCAGTTAGACGTGTGTGACGTCGTCGTTGGATGGGTGGTCATCTGAGATAGTAAGCGCTAATTTTTTCACATTTACTCCACTCAGAAACAATATCCTGACTATTCGACTACCGGGCCTTGCTTTATCCCTTTCATGCGGGCCGGCGGGCAGGTAACAAGCAATACTATTTTGTAACGACGTTCGAAATAACGAGTACGGAGATGGAACCACCGCCCTTCCGCTCTTCAATGAACTCTCAATCCACTATTACGGGCTCAGTACCTCTGAGATGTAATTCGCGTTTCAGAGTTGCATCCCTTGGGAATGCCAGGAACCTATGATTATAGGTTTGAATACTGATTTCCCCTGATTATGTTCGAGTCTCAGCAGGATTTCCGTGGTCGAGGCCTTCACAAAAGGGTAAAGCTAAACCAGCATGAATTTGGACATGCCCCTACACTCACGCTCTCTCATCTCGAGACGATGGCCATGTCTGACAGATTCCTTGATATCTAGAATGTTATGACAATGACTGCGCGTGCACAATTAACTTTGTTACGTTTCCGCGTTGTCAATCATCAGAATTTTCACAAATCTTGAATTTCATGAATTCTTTACTTTCGAACACATTTATGTGCCGGATATACCACATGTAACCCTGGTTAAGTTAATGCTATTGAATCATAACGTGTTATTATGTAAGTATACTTTTCCGGCTACCTGATTGGACTAGAGACGGTCACGTGACCGTCGACAGAAAAGCATATTGACTCCAACCCAGGTCCGACCAAAAGTCATATTGACTTGAGTTACTAAAAATAGATTTTGACATCAAGCTATGACGTCATTCTATTGTTTACATGTAGCAAAAATAAAATTACTTTTCTTGACTAAATTGACATGTTTTGGTTTTAGAAGCTTTTTTCGGTACCAAAAAAATCATGTATTGACCGCATCACCAGTCTATAATTGTATATTATTGTGTTTATCATCCAAAAGAGTGTTCCACAGGAGATATTGCTTATGTGAGATCAAAGGAGATATCGTTTTGACAGTAAATTTTGTACAATGCCCTGACAATGCTATGACGTCATGAACTTGATGACATCTCAATGCTATGACATCGCTTCACTGGAAGTCTAATGGTAGTACAGTCTTCAGAGATGTACATTTTTCATTGAAAACTAATAAAGAATTATTTTTTATGATAAATTGAATCTCACCCTCATGTCTCCTGATATCAAATAAACTCATGCCAATAATGGTTGTCACCCCCTTCAAATTTTTTTATTGGAGAGGGGGTGTGGGGTGGGTGTGTGGGGTTAGGGTGGGGAGCGGGTTGACAACCATTATTGGCATGAGTATATATCAACACTCGTTGATAAAAGTAAAAGTAGCCTCTGCAAGCTTCGGATATTTGTAACTTTATCAACTCGTGGTGATATATTTCATATCAGAAGACATGAGGGTGAGATTCTCCATGTACCAATGTATCTCATCATTAGCAAAAGAAAAACAAACCCGTAAGAATGAATAATTGTCCCCATATCAGGAGCTGCGATGGATAGCTCTAGTTCAGTATAACCTACCATTTTCAAATAGAAGCCACAAAACCCTTTCCACATCCGTAAGAAATCTCTGCTAAAAGAGTCGATTGTACAATTCTGACTTTATCGTGACTTATCATAAAATACATTTACTCAAAGATTGCCAATCGCATCCAAATCCAAATACGAAGTTGAGATGAAGACGACATACTGATTCAAAGATGACAGATGTACCTCACGTTTTCACCTGACATTAATGGTGTAACAACATGAATACCGACGTGACGTGTCCAATTACCACGTTAAATTACGCCAGCCCGACACCCGGATTGTCTATGTGATTACTGTAATCCGCAAACTGGATCAAGATGGCTACCTTATCTCTGATGCAGTGTCACACGATCTCCTTTCAAATACACCAAGATTAATCAAACCGAAACTACACGACCACGTCACTGGGGATTGTTACAAACAGATTTTACTGCCTAACGATGTATTGTATTCACGGTGTAATGACAAACGAAATAACTAAATCAATCACCGATGCACATAAACATGCATAACAAACAAAGCAGAGAGTATATGAAAATGACTTAAATGATTTAATGCAATTTATGAAAGAAGGGTCTGTCAAGAGGTTTGTAGATATGTAGATTTATTTTGTGTTTATAACCCATTGGATCAATACTAACAGTGTAAGAAGGATAAGGTACGATTGTCTCTCACGCTGAACAAACAGCATATATTCTTGTCCTGAAACGAAGTACATTATTAATACCGCTCTTCAATCACCATTTGCCATGGCGCATTTCTTCCAGTTTGCCCTGGAGGCTTGAGCTCGTGTAGTGTTGTTGGGGCAATTCATAGAGCGTTCCAAGAGCCATATGACTGACTGACTGAGTTTGGTTTTTACGCCGCTTTTAGCAATATTCCAGCAATATCACGGCGGGGGACACCCAAAATGGGCTTCACACATTGTACCCATGTGTGGGATTCGAACCCGGGTCTTCGGCGTGACGAGCCAACGCTTTAACCACTAGGCTACCCCACCGCCCCCCCAAGAGCCATATTAACACCGTAAACATCATCTCACCATTTTAACAAAACAGCCATTCCAGGCATGTCCAAATAGAGACATGTTACATATGGTCGGGCGAAGCAATATAAATCACGGCTTGGAATATTAACGAGAAGGAGATGCCGTATATCCTATAAATATAGGTGGTATGTATACACGATGGTAGTTTTGTGGTAGGCCAGGAAGGTAACCAGTTTACGAACATCACTAGATCGTGGGATGATATTTTGCAGATGAAGTGCTAGCAGATGTGTTGGTGTCTTAATATATATTGTATGTATAATACGTGTTGCGAATCACTAAATACACGCCACAGACGTACAACACTACATATATCTACAGTCACATGCACACAGTGGTCACATTGTACAGCCTACAGACATACAACACTACAAATATCTACAGTCACATGCACACAGTGGTCACATTGTACAGCCTACAGACATACAACACTACAGATATCTACAGTCACATGTAGACGGTGGTCACATTGTACAGCCTACAGACATACAACACTACAAATATCTACAGTCACATGCAGACGGTGGTCACATTGTACAGCCTACAGACATACAACACTACAAATATCTACAGTCACATGCAGACGGTGCTCACATTGTACAGCCTACAGACATACAACACTACAGATATCTACAGTCACATGCACACGGTGGTCACATTGTACAGCCTACAGACATACAACACTACAAATGTCTACAGTCACATGCAGACGGTGGTCACATTGTACAGCCTACTGACATACAACACTACAAATATCTACAGTCACATGCAGACGATGGTCACATTGTAGAGCCTACAGACATACAACACTACAAATATCTACAGTCACATGCACACGATGGTCACATTGTAGAGCCTACAGACATACAACACTACAAATATCTACAGTCACATGCAGACGGTGGTCACATAGTACAGCCTTCAGAAATACAACACTACAGATATCTACAGTCACATGCAGACGGTGGTCACATTGTACAGCCTACAGACATACAACACTACAAATATCTACAGTCACATGCACACAGTGGTCACCTTGTACAGCCTACAGACATTCAACACTACAGATATCTACAGTCACATGCACACAGTGGTCACATTGTACAGCCTACAGACATACAACACTACATATATCTACAGTCACATGCACACAGTGGTCACATTGTACAGCCTACAGACATACAACACTACAGTTATCTACAGTCACATGCACACGGTGGTCACATTGTACAGCCTACAGACATACAACACTACAGATATCTACAGTCACATGCACACAGTGGTCACATTGTACAGCCTACAGACATACAACACTACAGATATCTACAGTCCCATCTACACAGCGGTCACATTGTACAGCCTACAGACATACAACACTACAGATATCTACAGTCACATGCACACAGTGGTCACATTGTACAGCCTACAGACATACAACACTACAGATATCTACAGTCACATGTACACAGCGGTCACATTGTACAGCCTACAGACATACAACACTACATATAACTACAGTCACATGCACACAGTGGTCACCTTGTACAGCCTACAGACATACAACACTACAGATATCTACAGTCACATGCACACAGTGGTCACATTGTACAGCCTACAGACATACAACACTACAGATATCTACAGTCACATGCACACAGTGGTCACATTGTACAGCCTACAGACATACAACACTACAGATATCTACAGTCACATGCAGACAGTGGTCACATAGTACAGCCTTCAGAAATACAACACTACAGATATCTACAGTCACATGCACACGGTGGTCACATTGTACAGCCTACAGACATACAACACTACATATATCTACAGTCACATGCACACGGTGGTCACATTGTACAGCCTACAGACATACAACACTACATATATCTACAGTCACATGCACACAGTGGTCACATTGTACAGCCTACAGACATACAACACTACAGATATCTACAGTCACATGCACACAGTGGTCACATTGTACAGCCTACAGACATACAACACTACAGATATCTACAGTCACATGCACACGGTGGTCACATTGTACACATACAACTACAGATATCTGGTCACTACAGACAGTTATCTACAGTCACATGCACACAGTGGTCACATTGTACAGCCTACAGACATACAACACTACAGATATCTACAGTCACATGCAGACAGTGGTCACATTGTACAGCCTACAGAAATACAACACTACAGATATCTACAGTCACATGCAGACGGTGGTCACATTGTACAGCCTACAGACATACAACACTACATATATCTACAGTCACATGCAGACGGTGGTCACATTGTACAGCCTACAGACATACAACACTACAGTTATCTACAGTCACATGTCCACGGTGGTCACATTGTACAGCCTACATACAATCTAAAACATTTTATATATCTATAGTCACATACACACAGTGTAGGGTATACCGGAAGGTTGTATAATAAATCGTGAAGAAACCTTGGAAACATAGTAAGACAACTAGCTCTATGCAGCAAATAATCAATTTACTAGTTTAGTATTTAACCCTAGAGACCATTACGTTCAAAAAGTAACATATTGTATACTGTATTGAATGCTAGCATTATATCCCTGCTGAAGGAACGCACCGCACTGCTATTCTCCTTTTACTTCATGGGCAATTATGTTTTCACGTTCGGCTTGCCTTCAGTGTGAGGGGGGCGCTGGGGTAGCCTAGTGGTTAAAGCGTTGGCTCGTCACGCCGAAGGCCCGGGTTCGATCCCCACATAAGTACAATGTGTGAATCCCATTTCCGGTGTCCCTGCCATGTTGTTGCTGGAATATTGCTAAAAGCGGCGTAAAACCACGTGAATCTCTATGGTTCCACTTTTCGTTTTCACAGGAGAAGTTCTCTTGTTGTCTAAATTGTCCATATTTACAGTGTAGAGATTTAACGTTTATCTGATACCCTGCGTTGCCTGACCTAGTCAACAGTGTGTGTATGCCAGCAAGTACGTGATTTCTCGAGGATGATTCGGAGTATTTTACGAACGCTTCACAAACGTCGAATTAGAAATTATTCAGTATATGACACACAAAAAGAAAATACATTGTGATTACTGGATTATGACGTACAACCATATTTATATCCAAATAGCTGCACGAACTGCGATGCCACGTTATGTCTTTAAGTGTTATTTTGCTATAAAAAAAACTTATAATTATGCTATGCACTCAGTTGCGGTAAAAACCCGTTATATTTGCTCCGTGTGCAGTTGCTGAAGCGGTACTTATATATATACTCGAGTGAGCGTGGATGTGTTTTGATTTATGCCGCTTTTGGCAATAGTCTAGGGAAGGCGGTGCATCCAAGCATATCTAGTATAACAGGGTAAAACGAACTGTTCAAAATTCGTCAGTCCCGGTAGCATATATGTACAGTGTACCAAATACGTATGATTTCAACACAGGTATTTAGTGGTTTGATCCCAGCATTTGACACAAACACTTTTCAGTTGAGAAATAAATTCTACAGATGTTTTTCAGTGGGGCCTCTCAACTTAAAACTTTGAGTTAGTGGAAAAATTAATTAAACTGCTGAAACGAGGCAGGGCCTTGCAACACCCAGATAACACCCTGCTGGGAGGGTATTAAAAAGTCTGTAAGGCCCTACTAGGAGGGTGTTATATGGTATAAGGCCCTGCTAGGAGGGTGTTATCTAGGTGTATAAGGCCCTGCTACCTCTCGTCAGGATGTTCCTTCGGGAGTGAGTGAGTAAGTTTAGTTTTACGCCGCACCCAGCAACATTCCAGCTATATGGCGGCAGTCTGTAAATAATCGAGTCTGGACCAGACAATCCAGTGATCAACAGCATGAGCATCGATTTGTGCAATTGGGATACGATGACATGTGTCAACCAAGTCAGCGAGCCTGGCCACCCGATCCCGTTAGTCGCCTCTTACGACAAGCATGGGTTACTAAAGGTACCTTCTAACCCCGACCTTCACGGGTATGTTACTTCGGGAAAACAACTCAATTGAAAGAGCGTTATATGAGCATTGACGTATATAAATATTATTTGACCCCATATTAATGACGCCTAGTATATATAACGTGCAGTGGATGTGCCATCACTGCTTGTATTACTGGAAAGGTTCTAGATTTTAATTAAACCACTAGGGAAAGTTATGTCGGTATCTTCCCATAAGACAGACCTCCCTAAAGACAGACCGATTAAAACAACACATTTTATGGTTGGTTGCATAACATTGTTCTTGGAAGTATTTTATCAGCATAACTGAATAACTGTCCTAGGGCAATTATTTCTGTTTCAAAACAATAACACTGTACTCATTTTGATAATCTTCATGATGCCTAATACATTACACGCGTATAAATAAGTAAGCCCTCGTGGTGTAAACCGTTTAATCACCCTCACTACCGTAGTTCTTTAAATAACTACCTTGCAAGGGTGATTAACTTATACCTTGATGTTTCCTGTGAAGTTTTTGTTCCATTAATTGTCTGATCGAGTGAATGTTAAACCCCTACAACATTTTTGTTTGTTTGTTTGTTTGTTGTGTAACGCCGCATTCAGCAATAATCCAGCTATATGGCGGCGGTCTGTAAATAACCGAGTCTGGACCAGACAATCCAGTGATCAACAGCATGAGCATCGATCTACGCAACTGGGATACGATGACATGTGTCAACCAAGACAGCGAGCCTGACCACCCGATCCTGTTAGTCGCCTCTTACGACAAGCATGGTTTGCTGAAGATCAATTCTAACCCGGATCTTCACTGGTTTCTACTGATAAAAGTAATTATGTGTAAAACGTAAGTGTATCGCCTTAGGACTTTTCAAACTACTGGAACAAATACTTTTCTCAAAATGAAAGATTCAAGTATATGCCAACATTTTGTACTTGAATCTGCATATGAAACTGATCCTGTTATTGAATTACCATGTTATAGAGCTGGCTGACGGGTCATACTTACAATCGACAAAGCGCCAGGCAAATATCAGGAATTGCTGGCGTCACAGTTGTTGTAGTAGTAGTCGTTGTAGTCGTAGACGTGGTTGTAGTGGTGATGGTCGTTGTCGAAGGGGTTGTTTCTGTTGACTTCAAAACAGCCACAGTCTTACCTAAGGTTAACGCTTCCATACCAGCGAGCAGTTGTCCAAGATGGCCTACGGTCATTTGTTTAGGCGTGGTAGTAGAAAATCCGTCTGCACCCTGAGCTAGGTACCTCCCAAACATATCAGTTGCTCGGAAGGGAAGACTGTTGGTGTGTTGAGATGGTTCGGTTGTCATGGACGTAAGCGCTTTGGAAAGAATCGACAACAGAGATTTATTCCTTGAGCTCGCTGTGTTTTGTTTTGACGGACGCCCGAAAGTTCATTCAAGGCAGCGTTTACCCCCAGTAGTGGATCAAGAACTTGAGGGAGGCGAGTTACATCAGTCTCCCTGTTGATATGTAACCCGAGGTTCTGGTCTGCTGCGATGTCGAAGTGCTGCGTTACTGCTGGTACGGCCACCACAGAACTGGGCGTCACGTGGCTCGGTTCAAATTGGTGTACAAAGGCGCTACTCACCACTACATAGTCAGGGGAAAGCACTGGTGAGCTTTGATCCAGAGCGTTGGACGTCGAAATGGAGATGGATGGTGCTGTATTGAATGTCGTCGATGCGGACTGAAGACTGAGAGTGTTGACGGTAATGTATTGTCCATCCAGGGCATAGCTAGTCTGGATGTAGATGTTACTCGGAAGAAGCAACACCGATGACCGTAGGCTGGGTTCAGTAGTTGGATGAGTGTCCAGTGACAGAAAAGTCGATCCATACCTTGAATCACTATTCGTTGTCACCTCTTGAATATTCCGATTTGCTGTTGGAAGTATGAAGACAACGCTCGTATTTCTATCACTGGTGCTTTGCGAAAGGTGTGATTGCATTGGTGTGGAAGCACGAATCGTCGACGAACCATGCATCCTGGGCTGCACAGACGCTGTGGACCTTTCTGTACGTGACGTCTGTGGTGTTTGGGGGAGACCGTCAGCCATGACTGTCACGGGCTGTGACATGGAGGAGACGGCCGTGTGCCCTGGAGCACTAGCTGATGATGTAGCTGACGCTGGGCGAGGATGGGATTCAGGTTCTGGCTTGGATTCAGGGATTGTCTTGGAACCATGCATTCTGGACTGCACAGACGCTGTGGACCTTTCTGTACGTGACGTCTGTGGTGTTTGGGGGAGACCGTCAGCCATGACTGTCACGGGCTGTGACATGGAGGAGACGGCCGTGTGCCCTGGAGCACTAGCTGATGATGTAGCTGACGCTGGGCGAGGATGGGATTCAGGTTCTGGCTTGGATTCAGGGATTGTCTTGGAACCATGCATTCTGGACTGCACAGACGCTGTGGACGTTTCTGTACGTGACGGCTGTGGTGTTTGGGGGAGACCGTCAACCATGACTGTCAAGGACTCTGACATGGAGGGGACGGCCGTTTGTCCTGGAGGACTAGCTGATGATGTAGCTGACGTTGGGCGAGGTTCCGGCTGGGATGCTGCAATTGTGTCGTGTATTGTCCTTGTAGGGGTGATTGGTAACCACGTTCCAGATGCTGTGCCAGTGCTAGACCACTTTTCCAGGTGTGCTGCAATAGGAACACATCTTATCACGTCTTCGTTGATGCTGGACGATGTGGTCAAAGCTGTTGTATCTAACATTACCTTGGATGATGTCGTGACAAGAAGTCCTGATGACGATGATGGTGGTAATGAAGACATCACAGATGAAGACGTCGACGTATATAACATTACACTGTTCACTCTATTGGTGAAATAATTCTGGCTCAGCTGAGAAGTCTGAGAAAGGGAGGTAACTATTGACTCCGTATCCGTTTCATCAGCCCGTATGTGATCCAACAGTAAGGGCGGATAGATAACAGGCGCTCGCCTTGCCGTAAGTTTTTCATATAGGTCGTCCTCATCCATCGTGAAGGATGATGGGACCGTCCTCGGCGAAGTCAGGTGAATCCACGCAAAGGTCAGGAGGTGCAAGAGGAATAGGCGTTTCATCTGTCAAGAACAACATGAAACGTTAGGCATGGTTTTTAACGACAACACTAACATTTAAAAATAGAGTGAGTGAGTGAGTTTAGTTTTACGCCGCACTCAGCAATATTCCATCTATATGGCGGCGGTCTGTAAATAATCGAGTCTGGATCAGACAATCCAGTGATCAACAGCATGAGCATCGACCTGCGCAGTTGGGATATGATGACATGTGTCAACCAAGCCAGCGAGCCTCACCACCCGATCCCGTTAGTCGCCTCTTACGACAAGCATGGGTTACTGAAGGTTCCTTCTAACCCGGACCTTCACGGGTTTTAAAAATAGAACATAAACTTAATCTTTATGTTCATAATCTCTGTTTATTACCGGCAGTCATACATGTATATCAGACATTACTACATACAAAAGTAATGACAGTGTAAAGCATATTTCCTAAAGTCCATTTAACCATCCCTATGACATTTGATCTCGCAATCCGTGGACCACATTCCTTCCGGGTACCCATTTCAACAATGCAAAAAGCCCTAAATCAAGCAAGTCTAGACTTCATCCGTTTCTGGGTCAGTGGGGTAGCCTAGTGGTTAAAGCGTTCGTTCGTCACGCCGAATACCTGGGTTCAATTCCCCACATGGGTACAATGTGTGAAGCCCATATCTGATGTCCCCCGCGGTGATATTGCTGGAACATTGTTAAAAGCGGTGTAAAACTAAACTCAAACACTCATCCGTTTCTGAACTCCGAACTCACTTGGTTCCTTTTGTGCTTAAATGGAGCTAACTATTTCTATCGAAATTATACACCCCGAGACAAAGTGTTAGCCCAACATTGCCCCATGGTTTACTGTTACCATCCCATTTATTACTCACTTACACAATGGGATCTGTGGGTAAACCCGTCATTCAAAAGGTTGTACAGTTATATAGAGACTGATATATTTAGTACAAGGTTTACAGATCCATAAACATTAAGAATGAGAAACATAAAAATTAAACTATAAAGTCGTTTTCATTCTTTCGAACACCACACTCATGCGAACGAACACGCACGCTCGCACACAGTTCTCTTTGGCCCTACTTATTGATGGTATAAGAGACACCATGGTTGTAGACCAGCAATTGCGCGTTACGGTGTCATGGTGACCAGAGTGCAGGTGCGTACAAGGGCGTTAACGTCAGTGGTAAAGGCATTTACGTTATGAGTAGACAACCTGAATATCCTTAACAAGAACAAGTCCTACTCGGAAGAGGCTCACTTGTCACCTGAACACTAATCGGCCGAATTAGTCGGTATTAAGGCAGGGTATTCATGTGGTGAAACTATCCATAAGTCAGCCGGAATAGTCGGTATTAAGGCAGGGTATTCATTTGGTGAAACTATCCATAATTCAGCCGGAATAGTAGGTATTGAGGCAGGGTATTCATTTGGTGAAACTATCCGTAAGTCAGCCAGAATAGTCGGTATTAAGGCAGGGTATTCATGTGGTGAAACTATCCATAAGTCAGTCGGAATAGTCGGTATTAAGGCAGGGTATTCATGTGGTGAAACTATCCATAAGTCAGCCGGAATAGTCGTAATTAAGGCAGGGTATTCATGTGGTGAATCAATCCATAAGTCAGCCGGAATAGTCGGTATTAAGGCAGGGTATTCATGTGGTGAAACTATCCATAAGTCAGCCAGAATAGTCGGTATTAAGGCAGGGTATTCATGTGGTGAAACTATCCATAAGTCAGTCGGAATAGTCGGTATTAAGGCAGGGTATTCATGTGGTGAAACTATCCATAAGTCAGCCGGAATAGTCGTAATTAAGGCAGGGTATTCATGTGGTGAATCAATCCATAAGTCAGCCGGAATGGTCGGTATTAAGGCAGGGTATTCGTGTGGTGAAACTATCCATAAGTCAGCCGGAATAGTCAGTATTAAGGCAGGGTATTCATGTGGTGAAACAATCCATAGTCAGTCGGAATGGTCGGTATTAAGGCAGGGTATTCATGTGGTGAAACTATCCATAAGTCAGCCGGAATAGTCGGTATTAAGGCAGGGTATTCATGTGGTGAATCAATCCATAAGTCAGCCGGAATAGTCGGTATTAAGGCAGGGTATTCGTGTGGTGAAACTATCCATTAGTCAGTCGGAATAGTCGGTATTAAGGCAGGGTATTCATGTGGTGAAACTATCCATAAGTCAGCCGGAATAGTCGGTATTAAGGCAGGGTATTCATGTGGTGAAACTATCCATAAGTCTACCAGAATAGTCGGTATTCAGGCAGGGTATTCATTTGGTGAAACTGTCCATAATTCAGCCGGAATAGTCGTAATTAAGGCAGGGTATTCATGTGGTGAAACAATCCATAATTCAGCCGGAATAGTCGGTGTTATAGAAAGGTATTCCTTTACTAGGGTATTCCTAGTAAAATAAGTGTCCTTGAACTGAGGGGTATCGCTGCACTGAAACTAGACATGTGCCACTAGATATGTTCCGTATTCAGTGAAGCTGCATATTCCCACAGCGAAACTAGACATACGTCGGCAAAAATAGCCGGTACCGAGACAAGGTTTTTCTACACGGAAATCAGACAAACGTCACCCGGAATAGTGGGCGTTTTGGTCAGTTATCCCCTGTGTAAATAGGGAAAACAGTTATTAATCACTAAACCGGGAAATTGTCAAAATGTTATGAATACCTATTTCACAATAGTGTTTCTGATATCCACTGTCAAAGGAAATTGTTCTGCAATAGACATGGGCCCTCAAAGGTCACCACAGACGTTTACCAGACATATCGATTCATCTCAACATGCATGATCCTGTACGTCAGTATAATTTCGAAACTAAACCTAAATATACTATATCATCGACTATACTTGGTTCAAATCGAATTACACCGTCGTCATTGTATTAAGTTTTGAGAAAAATAAATCAAAATGAAGTTAAGCTAATCAATACAATCTTTTCTATCACTGTAATGTAATTGTTGGCGTATTGATGTCTGACATGTCCAACGGCAATCACTCGACTATATATTCTTACGTTTCACTGAGACAAATGTCAAGTTTGTAATTGCATTTCTCACTGTCTATTGTCAGAGCAATGTTTGTGCTAATTACATGGCTAAACTGTTCATCTTTCAACCGTGTCTCTGACGAACCTTAATCTCATGTCTTCATGATTTTTACTTTCAATCTCAGAACGACCTTTGCATGTTCCTGTTGTCTCAATGTTATATTGCTGTGGATGTTTTATACAACCTGCATTTTCCCTTTCAAAATAAGCTCTGCAGCATTTATCATTACTGAGTCAACTACAAAATAAAAGCTTGGACCGAGTGATTAACATTCCCACGGTGTTTCAATGCGAATATATTTCTTAAACAGTTTATATACCAATGAGCAGCAGAATCTGTCAGCTTGAATAAAGCAAGCGTATTTCAAACTTTGAAGATATTTTCCCGTTCATTTCAAACTAATCAACAGATGCGTCATCGTGTCACAAGATTATAGTTTCCATCTATCAGTTTGTTGTGCTGTTTGTGAACATGGACTCTTTCTGAAGACTGGTTGTTCTCTTGCATTGGTATTTAATATTTTGTGACCGCAATGCCATCAACAACAAATATATGTACTGGCAAGGATATATTTGTGATCAATTGTGGTAAGATGGAAATTCCGAATTGAAGATGGAAAAAAATGAAGTCAAATCATTTTAGAAATCTGTTTGTTCCAAGAATCCATATGTATCCCTCAATGGAAGGTAAACGTTCGACCCAGTTTCTGACACAGCGTTAGTTGCACATAGTTAGTACTGAATACCAGTACCGCTTGCACATTGTATTATAGGGATACTTCGGACAATAACAGTGTCGTGTAATTCATGCTCCTTTATCTAGGGTTATACTGGTAATGCAAGAATAACACGGACATAACGCAGTACGAATATCGGGGATACAACGTTTGAAGTATTGTGCAAAGATGCCTGGGAACGTTGAATGATCTTTACTATGTAGAAATACCTGGGATTCAACATTGTATGTTTATTACTTAGCAGGAATACATGGAACACAACATTGCATGTTCATTACTTAGCAGGAATACATGGATCACAACATTGTATGTTCATTACTTAGCAGGAATACATGGATCACAACATTGTATGTTCATTACTTAGCAGGAATACATGGAACACAACATTGTATGTTCATTACTTAGCAGGAATACATGGAACACAACATTGTATGTTCATTATGTTGCAGGAATACATGGAACACAACATTGTATGTTCATTACTTAGCAGGAATACATGGATCACAACATTGCATGTTCATTACGTAGCAGGAATACATGGAACACAACATTGTATGTTCATTACTTAGCAGGAATACATGGATCACAACATTGTATGTTCATTACTTAGCAGGAATACATGGAACACAACATTGTATGTTCATTACTTAGCAGGAATACATGGAACACAACATTGTATGTTCATTACTTAGCAGGAATACATGGAACACAACATTGCATGTTCATTATGTAGCAGGAATACATGGAACACAACAGTGTATGTTCATTATGTAGCAGGAATACATGGAACACAACAGTGTATGTTCATTACGTAGCAGGAATACATGGAACACAACAGTGTATGTTCATTACGTAGCAGGAATACATGGAACACAACAGTGTATGTTCATTACGTAGCAGGAATACATGGAACACAACAGTGTATGTTCATTACGTAGCAGGAATACATGGAACACAACAGTGTATGTTCATTACGTAGCTGGAATACATGGAACACAACATTGTATGTTCATTACGTAGCAGGAATACATGGAACACAACAGTGTATGTTCATTACGTAGCAGGAATACATGGAACACATCATTGTATGTTCATTACTTAGCAGGAATACATGGAACACAACATTGTATGTTCATTATTTAGCAGGAATACATGGAACACAACATTGTATGTTCATTACGTAGCAGGAATACATGGAACACAACATTGTATGTTCATTACTTAGCAGGAATACTGGAACACAACATTGTATGTTCATTAAACAACAGAAATACCTGAGACATATCAGTATATAGTCATTATACTTCAAGAATATTTGCGACGCAATATTGTATGTTCATTACAGTACACAGATACCTGTAACAGAGCTCTGTATGCTCATTAAACAGTAAGAATGCCTGAGACAAATCAACATATGTTCATTACACTGCCAGTATACCCGCGACACAACAAATGTTCATTTCACTGCATGCATATCTGGGACACATGAACAATTGTTCATTACACTTCAAGAATACCTGGGACACAACGTCTTAAACTTTAACACAGGATAAATTCCAATCCCTCACAGCGAAACGTGAATATAATATGATTCATGTCTGTGTTTTATCGTGTAGTTAACTTGCCCTGGACAGCCGGCCTGTGAACACAACACACCTCCCACGTCATATCTAAGGTCACATTGTTGTTTCCTTGCAGAGTTGTTTACGATCTTTCGATTGGTTGAACTTGATTGATATATGTCCTGTTTTGACAGCTGGAAGCTTACTGAAGGTTTGATTCAACCATGACAACATTTTCGTTTCAACCTTTCGCAATCTCGATTCCATCTTTTGACAATTTTTCTTTGAGTTACAGTGTAACAGTACCAGCAGATAAAGTCTGCTCTATTTTGTGACGGCAAATGTGATCTTCTGTTTCGGTTATAACTCCAACTGTAGACAAGAATCCCTTCTCTGATAACATCTTCCGGTTTCATCACAAACCGAAACCTGCACTACCATGAGTTATCAATAGTCGAAAATGACATATTGTCCAGTGTAATCTGGTTTCGGAAACACACATTACTCTCTAACAATATTTTGTCACTTTCTAGGCAAGTCTGTCATGTGATCGAATGATTAAACGTTGCATTTATTTTTTCAGTGGCTACAGTTGACAAGCAATCCGTCAGCGATGACAATCACCCTGACTATTGTTCAATCATCTTGGGCTGACGTATTGAAATGAGTATACCGACGATGGTCGACGATATACCACAAATAAAACCTCTCAGTGTTCTGTTTATACGTGTCTTGTTTGTGAATGTTCACGATGTGTTATTCTTAACCTTTATCGTTAGTTAAATCTCTTGCTACATGTCGTGTAAGTAAAATGGAAAAAACGCAAAACCTTCATCTGGTGTTATATACTAGTATTTCAATGCTGCCTTTATTTTAAGAACCGATGTTATCCACCTCTATAAAATCCTCACATTTCATATTCCCCCATCGCTATCTCAACGGCTATCTCACTCAGGTCGTTAACTTTTTCATCACACCCACCTAGTTTTTCATCCATCGTTATGTATCTATCTATGTTTCTATGCATCCATTAATCCATCCATCCATTTAAACATACGTCGATTCATCTGTATGTATGTATGTATGTATGTATGTATGTATGTATGTATGTATGTATGTATGTATGTATGTATGTATGTATGTATGTATGTATGTATGTATGTATGTATGTATGTGTGTGTCTGAATGTATGTATGTATCTATGTATGTATGTATCCACCCACCCATCCATCCATCCATCCATCCATCCATCCATCCATCCATCCATCCATCTATCTATCTATCTATCTATCTATCTATCTATCTATCTATCTATCTATCTATCTATCTATCTATCCAGCTAGCCATCCGTCCATCCATTCATCTTTCCATCCATATTTGTCTGTCTGTCTGACATACACACAATGTAACATAGTCTACATGATACAAGAGCTGTATGCCTGGTTACTAACATTCAAAATATGTCTTTCACACTGTATCGTTGAATTTGGTACATACCAAATATAATTAGTTTTGATAACTTGTCCCTAAACATAATGTTGTTGTGCAGTTACAGAGTGAATAGTATTGCCGATTTACACATGATCAGGACAAGTTGACTTACCTCTTCAGCTGAGGAATCCGTCCTGTGTGACAAAAGTCCTATACACGATCTCTCCAGGTGTGTTCGAGGAAGGCGTCCTGCTCCTCGCCATTGTTGAATAAAACGGAGCGTTAATGTCGCGTGGGGGAGGTAGGAAGGGGGAGCACTGACGGCTTTCTGATTAATGGTGGCCTCAGGCTGGTCCTGGGTGGTGCCTGTCTTGAATCACAACGTGGTTGTCTACTACGAGAGGGTCGGCAACAACAGCAGGACGTAACGTGTGAAAACTGTTTTATGACGGAAAAGCAGCTCTCTATGGGATAGTGTGTTGTCAATCAAACTGAAGTGTCCGTGAGGATCTGGTCGACCCAGGTCATTTAGTTTCTAAGACGATCACCGACAGCAGTAAGTTGGGATTATAAGATTAAGGGAGTAACTGAATATATATAGAATGGCAGTGCAAAGGAATACCCAGCCTTGACTTTCCCCTAAAACAGATTCCATTTGGTAAACATAACCGACATTTAGTGGTCGGTGATGAAAACAGGTGTTCGCGAAACATGTCTGATCATTTTTATTCCACGTCCTTATCAGTCGAGGTGAGGTGAGGTGAGGTGAGGTGAAATTGGGTTTAACGTCGTGCTTGAGAATATTTCACTCATATGACGACGTGCATGCGTGTGTATGTGTATGTGTGCCTGCTTGTACTAGCCCAGACTGAAGCTGGTTTTATAGTGCTAGCCCACTGAGATACCATACCGCAGTGAAGCATGAATACCTCACTCAGACACATTATACTGACTCCGAGCCGACCAGTCCTTGTTGTACCCATTAATGCCGAGCGCCAGACAGGAACCAACAAGTACCATATTTTAACGTCTTTTGGTATGACGCGGTCGGGGATCGAACCCGCGACCTTCCGCTCTCCGGGCGGACGCTCTAACCACTACACCACGGAGGCGTTTAGCGTTGGAGAGGGGATTGAGATCACATCATTCGTTCAGAGGTGTTATAAGGATTCTCTTTAATAATATGCAAGAATGAGGATGTGTTTCTAATTACAAGTATTATCCGTATTGTAGTTCTGCACGGAATGACCTCTATAAAGATTGCAGTCTATCAGTTTCCACATGGTTCCATCAAGCCACAACCACATATCACAGAGGGCCGGTGGGGTAGCCTAGTGTTAAAGCGTTGGCTCGTCACGCCGAAGACGCGGGTTAGAATACCCACATGGGTACAATGTGTGAAGCCCATTTCTGATGTCCCCTGCGGCGTAAAACCAAACTCAGTCAGACATATCACAGATGACAGAATGCTTGAACCTTCAGTTGGAAACTTACGGCCATGGTACATTATTGGGATTATGTGAGGATTATACCATTCCAGAAGTTGTCTCGATGGACAGACAAGACTGAGCGAGTGAGTGAGTGCAGTTTTACGCCGCCTTTAGCGTAATATCACGGCGGTGGACACCAGAAATGGGCTTCACATATTGTACCCATGTTGGGAATCGAACCCGGGTCTTCGGCGTGACGAGCGAACGCTTTAACCCTAGGGTAACCCACCGTCCCGGACAGATAAGAACATATGGAAATATAATATGTTACAAGCATGCTATATGTTTTTTTCAATCTTACAAATGTATCCAGATAATTTCAGAGGAGAGGAAATTGTCAGTCTAACATGGTTGTAATTGTGAATTCTGTCTGTGAAAACTCAATTACGATGAAACAAAAAGTAATGGCTTTTCACATTTGAAACATAAACGCAGGATTCTATTAATAATGAACCAGCACTTCTTACATTTATTGACAGTAAAGTCGTTAATCGATCCCTCGCCTTGTGGCCAAACGATAAATAATGGAAATCATGAACTAGATGCTTCTTTATTGCAAAACGGACCTAGAATGTCATGTGGTGTCATACTCTTACAATACAGGGTTATCTTATATTCACTGTAACTGCAACTGCTACCGCAGTCATCGCCATCGCATCTAAGATCTAATCTTATATTTCCCACGTCCTAGTTTTTATGGTGTATGACACACATGTTGTTCTGTTGGTTAACGTCATCAGGGGCTGCATTACACCTGATTTCCGCCGAATTCAGTCCTGCCGGAAGTAGAACTCCAGATCTGTTCAAACAGTTTAAATTGCACATGGTACCACGTCGACAATCTGATATCTTTTATAATTGACTTGCATGACCGTTGATTTCTACTGACGTTTCCTTCTCAATACATTTGAACTATTTGTTAAGCCAAATTGGGAATATTGTCCTTTCACAATGTACAAGTGGAATCGCGTTTCTAAAAGGATCTCATGGCATTAGTAATGGGACACAGCATTCTAGCAGAATAGTCTGGTAACTGTAATATTATAACTGTGTGCAAATCGGATGATGTTTCATGTCAGGTTGTCCACTGTGTTATAACGGGAATTGTTACCTACAATGGAGGTGAGACATATATTTACCACCGGACTTTAAATAGTCTTAGACAATTACCAACTGGATGCTAAAACAATCGGCCAGGTACCACCTAGACAATTTTCAGGGGAACAACCACTCGGTTTTGAACCTCATACTTGTTTTTCACGAGAACTAAGGTCCGTTAAACAAAGTGTGAGGTAGGAAGAAATGGGAAATCATTCCTCTTTCCTATCAATGAGGTCAAATATTGTGGCCTGGATGAATGTGTAAAATTCCTTTATTCCGAATATAACCGTCAAAGTTTCTTTTCTCTGACTGTCCTGATCTTCCCTTTACATATGTACAACTTGAGTAAACTACGATTATGACGAACACACGTATAAATGAATGAGTGATATGTCGAACTGTTTTGTTGCAGCCACTTATATTTGCGTCAAAATGTGTATAACGACTTACGGTTATAATGGATTCCAATTATGTTTACTCTGAGTTACAAACGTAGTTTACTGTGTATTACATGATGTCAGAGTATATAAATCCTTTTGATAGCAACTCCCTGTGTACATACCATCACTTCTCCAACCTGAAGCCAAAGTGTGTCTCAGCTTCTTAGTGTTGTACAAATACCACAGGAACAAAATATAGTCTGCTCCAGATTCTTCAGACGTTGTCCAATGCTGACGGTGTACGTCTCCTCTGCTGCTGTAAGCACTATATAACAGTTTGGCTGACAATGCGTCATAATCAAAACTGGTATGCTGGCATACCAAGAGCATTAAACGTTCAAAGGCATTTGCGCCTATTGGAACAGAAAAAGTAACTCCCCAGTCTCTCGATAGCAACCATCCACATCTCAAATCCATTTGTATCTTTAAGCTACAACAGTTTCCGTTTGTTCGACCGAACTCGCTATTCATTTCTATGCGCTTCGGCATTTTTGGGCATTTTGAATTTTCTCTTAAGCCGCGAGATCACGGCGTTGCCAAGCAACCTGTTCTTTCGCTGTAACGTCTGTTTTGCTCGTTTCGCAACACAAACAAATCATTTGGAGTTGATGTTTTCCACCACATTCTGGTAGATATTATCGTTAATTTGTAACATTCCCAAATGATTCATTTGTGTTCAACATTCCTGCGTACACGCCGCACACCAGTTCAGTGACAGCACACACTTGATAAAACAAATGTCTTCAAAATTACAACAACAAATCCTTACGTATTCCTGCAGACATTTCATCAGTCGGGATCGGGTCTTCAGCAGCCCATGCTTGTCGTAAGAGATGATTAAGGTGACTGGGTTGTCAGGCTCACTCATTTGGTGGAGGCATGTGATCGTAGAACAATTTGGAAGAGCAATTTCATGTTAATCACTGGATAGTCTTGTCCAGACTGTTGTCGTATTGCTGAATTGAATTATGAGTTTGGCGTTAACAAAGAAACAACAGAAATGCATGGTAAATGAAACACACGCCAGTCCACTTCCCCACCCCACCAACAAGTGACATCAATCAGTCGATACTACAAGACCCTATCCTATCTTTGTTCCAATGATTTATTGTATTACCAATCAAACCACATGTGCCACACGTAATATATTCTTTCCAGAAGAAAAACAATGCTGATATCAAAATGCAGCAATATATACAAGTAGGTGAGGTGTTTTCACACAAGTAGTTAGACACAGATATACGACCACAAACGCTACTATCTACACCCACCTACATGTACAACTATGATTGCTACTGGTGCAGCCATATTACTGGAATGTTAGTGAAAGCTGCATAAAACTAAAATCCATCCCTCACTCACTACTATTACTGCTACCACTACTTCCGCCACTACTACAACAATTACTACCACTACAACAACAACTACTACTTCTACTACTGTCACAACTGCTGCTACAGCCACCCCACTGTACTCGACGAGCGAGACATTTCATTATAGTCAGTATGCAATCCAGCTCCTTTGGCTGACTGACTGACTGAGTTTTGTTTTACGCCGCTTTTAGCAATATTCCAGCAACATCACGGCGGGGGACACCAGAAATGGGCTTCACACATTGTGCCCATGTGGGGATTCGAACCCGGGTCTTCGGCGTGACGAGCCAACGCTTTAACCAGTAGGCTAAACTCCCCCCTCCCAGCGCCTTTGGAACCAGGCAGACATCTTACTGGATATAGCTAGTTTAACAATTTTAACAGTTTAGAATTAACAAATGTCAAATTACCCTTCTGCATTTGCACTACATCTTCCATCTGAAGTTGCTTTGTTTTCTATTTTTAGAACAAATTTGATATTTGACAAGGTATATTATGACGATTTACTTTCCAGTTCGCAATTTCTGATAGCGAGAATAGTAGACGCCTTACATTTACATATTTTATTGAATAAAAAATTCCTAGAAATGAATATTCTTAACTGAGTCCTCGTATGATGGCGTGTTAGTGCAGGATGACATCGCGATACTCTGAATAGAGGTACGTCTGAACACATAACCCAGTTATACTCAAATAGTAACTGAGGGACGTGCGTTTAAATGAAAGAACGTCAAATGCAGAGAAAGGACGTCACCCACAGCGAAATGACGTCATCAACAGAGAAAGCTCGTAACCTAGTGAGAAATGAAGGCTCGTGCACTGAGAGAACGTTCTCTAGTTACCTACATATATAGAAGTGACTTCAT